CCGGAGACACTTCCGGGTCACGTGGCCAGCGTGACAAGCTGCATCTGGCGAGCCAGCGCAGCACACGGAACGCCGTTTACCTTCCCGCCAGTAAGCGGTCCCTATTTATCTACTTGCACCCGGGGGTGCTTTCGAACTGCTAGGTTGGCAGGCGCTGGGACCGAGCAACGGGAGCGCACCCCGCCGCGGGGATTCGAACCGCCGACCTTTCGATCAGCAAGTCCTAGGTGCTGAGGCTTTAACCCACAGCGCCACCCGCGTCCCTTTCCAAGGGGAATAGGGGTCTTCTAATGATTCTCAGCACCCCTAACAAGCAGTGGTATGGTACTGCTTTAAACATATACTGCAGATGATGCCTTAAGCAGATAAGCAAATGAAATCTATTGAGATATATGTTGAGGGAGGCGGGGGACTAATTCTGTAAATTAGCAACTTTGTTTTATCCACCTAAATGTTCACTGGAATCTAAAAAGCAAAAGAGCCTACAGATTATCTCCACTACAAAAAAAGGCAACAAGAAATTCAAGAAGCAAAGCTTTCGTCCTGTCAGTCAATCAGAAAGCTAAAGGAATGATAGCACTACTAACGTTCAACAAATGACGTTTAGGAAAAGAATTTCCTGAAAATAGCCTTCTGGCTTAACACCAAGTCATTCATTTGCAAAGGCGAGAATTATAAGAGGCATCCGAAGAAGATTTGCCCCAAATACATTATATAATAGAAACCACAGAAATATATTACTGTTCAGAAAATGATTTCTCCTTCATTGTTAGCTCTTGCCTTCTGTCCCTGGATATTAACAGTTACTATTCTTTCACCTTGTAAAGTGACAGAGTAGTAGGGTTGTCATGTGTCCTCTTTTTCCAGGACGTGTCCTCTTTTTCTGGGGTAAAATATCTGTCCAGGTGGATTTTTTTAATTTGCCAAAATGTCTCTGGATATACTTTCTGGATGAGACATAGACATAACTGGTGGCTGAAGACTTGCTTTCCTCTTCTCTTCTCCTGCCCCCCTCAGCAATGTATCACAGTTTCTATAGCCTACATAAAGAAGGGGTATTTAAAATGAGAGTTGTCATAATATCTTCTTTTTTTGCTCTTCAAAGCATCGCAATAGATCCCCCACCCATGACTGTGTGTGTGTAAAAACTGCATTCATAACAATTTGCCCTATAAATTGGTACTTTGTTGCTTTAAAACTACAATAATAAACACATGTGCTGACATGATGTCAGTTCAACATTCCTACAGTGGTGATGCATTTTTTAACATGTGGAGTTTTTTGGGGTTTTTTGGAGGGGGGAGTTATTGGGTTGTTGTTTTTATTTTGATTATGTATTTTCTGGTTTTATTCTGTAAACTGCCCTGAGACCTACGAATAAAGGATAGTATATTTGTTAAACAAACAAACAAACAAACAAACAAACAAACAAACAAACAGGTTTGAAGCATTTTATGATAAAGGCAGCTCAACATACTTATTTGCTTGTACAGTCAAAATATGGAATCAGAGGCCTGCTCAGTGTGGCTGCTCAAAACATCCTCTGTGGCATCAACACTTCACATGATAAACAATAATCAAGCCCTTCAAATTGGTCTCTTTCAAATTCACAAGCATCATATTCCACAATTAGGATTACTTCTTTATCTAAAATAGTCACTCATATAGTTCACCAGCCTGGATTTGCTGGTGTTTTTTTTTGTTTTTTGTTTTGCTAATTTTCATTTAAATGGGTGAACCTGTGATTCTCCAGAGGTTGCTGCAGCAATTCTCATCAGCCCCAATGAGAAAGCCCAATGGTCAGAATCTGGAGGGCCAGAGATTTTTCACCCCTGATATAAATCTTCCTAAATAACAAAGAAAGGAAGCAGAAGTTTTTTTTTCTTTAAAAATAATGCCAAAAAATGGGGGGCGTCTTATACATGGGTAGTGCATAGGCTGAACGTTTGACTGATTGCTGCCGCAATGTGCTTGTTGTGCATGTTATTGGTTGCTGCATCAATGGGTGGTATTGATTTGCTGACACTGTGGCAATTAGGCAGGCAATTGGCAGCTTCTGCCAGTGAGGGGACAGACGGGAGGCGGGTTTTGCGAGACGTGCAGGTGAGCAACCCCCCTAAAACCCTCCGCAAAAAAAGCTCAACAACTCAGAGAGCTATCCTCCACAAAAAGAGCTTAACAACTCTGTGCCATCTCCCCCCATTCTCTTAGAGTCCCCCAAAATAGGGGGCTTCTTATACAGGGGGGTGTCTTATAGATGGAAAAGTACAGTATGCCATTTGAATTTATAGATCCTTTTGTGTATTCCCAACCTTTCCATACTGTTTAATACTATTCAGAAAAGTCAGTTTCATTTATCTAAATGGAAAAGCATAATGAACATTCATTGCAAAATATATTTCACATAAAGTACTCGGGCAAATATGCATTAACAAAATCGGGACATAATTCAAGCGCAGCTGCTGCACAAACTCCATTAATTTCAAACTCCATTGAAATAAATGGAGGTTGAGTAGTAACAGTGGTTAGGGTAATGCATCTTTAATTATATGTAAATAATTTTGAAATGAAAAAGGGCAGATAGCAAAACATTGCAACAAATAATTCATCCAGTTTAAATCACAAATGAAAGGCTGTGAGATGAAGGATAATGTATTATGTTATCTCCCTGCTTGAGAGATGCTCAAGTGAGTTAACATTATATAAGGAACTTGTATAACTAGAGAATCTTGTTAGCTGGGCTAGCATACTCATGTTCAGACCAGTGGGACGTGGGGGCGAACCATACTGAACTAGTTTAACAAAATGGCGTACTCCACCCTGCCTCGATCAACTTACCTCACATTCTCTGCCCACTCTATTATCCCTTGTACCTATTGAAGGATTCAAAGCAATGGAATGATTTGCTCTGTGGGCTTCACACAATAATATACAGTTGTACCTCGGGTTAAGTACTTAATTCATTCCGGAGGTCCGTACTTAACCTGAAACTGTTCTTAACCTGAAGCACCACTTTAGCTAATGGGGCCTCCTGCTGCTGCTGCGCCGCCGGAGCACGATTTCTGTTCTCATCCTGAAGCACTATTTCTGGGTTAGCGGAGACTGTAACCTGAAGCGTATGTAACCTGAAGTGTATGTAACCCGAGGTACCACTGTATCAAGGAAATACACCTATGTTTGTGTGACTGCTCTTCATATATTTAATATATTTAATTAAATAGCAGCCACAGAGGCAATCAAGACAATGTGAAGGGTGGGTCCCTCCTTCCCCATGTCAAAGCCCACTACCCTAAAAAACCTGCTATTTGGCACAGGAGATGCTAGATTTGTTGGAAGTGCAGCAAAGGGGTTAACTACCCGCATACTTCCTGCATGCCATAGTTTTAATACTAGTGACCTCTCTCCTATCACACAATAGGAAAATAATAACATAAAAATGATGATGCAGTTTATTTATATGCAGCTTTTCAATGCAAATGCCTGCCAAGCAGTGAGCAGCGTATTAACGTAGTACATGCAACAGAGTACAATAAAATACCATATATCAATCAGTAAGCAAAACTATTTAATAACAAAAGCACCACATTGATTTAATAAATAATTATGATGATAAGAGTCAGAGGAGAACCTCCCCAGACTAGAAAATTAAAGGGCACTCTCACCAACCCTATCCTATCCCATACATTTAGGCGCTAGAGACCTGAACAAAGAGAAATACTTAATTGGTTTTAAAGTATAGAAGAGTAAGACGTACCCCAGTTTAAGAGTATCCTAACTTAATTTTATCAAATTTAAGGGGTTAGAATTAAGGAACACAAATTACAATCATGTCGTTCACATACTGTCTAGCTTGGCCCAAAGTCTGGTTATGCAACCCTGATGTATTTTTCATACAAATCAAAGGACTGGTTGGTGTCCAGGGAATGTGGCCAAGAACTATTTGGGAGCTGCCACAGTTGGTTAGCCTGTTTGCAAGCTGAAGACAAGTCTTTTGAGTGCGACATACCTAACAAGGAGAAAATCAAAGGTATTTCAGGGGAGGTTTGTCAACACAAGAGATTGTAACCAATTTCCCCTAGTACCAAATATTGCAGAATGAATGCTAGGAAAATGTGATATCACTGCAGAAGAGATAACCTCAGAAAGGGTCTACGGATCCCTCACCATGAATAAGTAACAACTCCAGATTTATTTCACAATAAAGCATAATTTAAAACCACTCTCTAAAAATGTCACATCAGAGGACCAAATCTGGACAACCATAACATATGAGCTCTTCAGATGCTTAGTTTTATTCCCTATTCTACTCAACAGCCAATGGAAAGATTCTCTTCCGGTGCTCCTGAATTTCAAAACCATCAAGCCTCAAAGCTATCTGAGCCCCATTCACACACAAAAATCTGAGTATATCAGGCTTCATGCAAGTGTTAGCAATCTTTAGCTATCTTTAACTTCAACTAGTAACAAGCTTGTTGACTGAAGCAAAACTATCACTTTTTCTCCCTGCCCTTTCATAATTTCACTCTTTCTTTTATTCTTATTGCAAAAGGTAGAAAAAGATTCACCGTAAGAAAACGTAAAAAGAGATTCAAGAATAGTATCAGATGAAGGAGCTAAAATGTGTTGGTTAACAGAATTCATTTAGAAAAGTTAGTTGCAGTTTGTTTTTTTACAATTGAAAAGTTAGTTGCAGTTTAGCCAGGTGTACACAACCAAGCTCTCAACAAAATTGCATATGCACCTATTCTCTATTTGATGACATGACATTACTACAAGCACTATAGTTCCCCAGTCCTCTAAACTATTCTCGTCCCACCTTCATCACATACACACATCACTCAGTGTTTCAGATGTCAATAACTATCTGCAAAGGTTGAATTCCAAACTCCCCTTTTCATATCACACAGTGCAAGAAGGCCCTCACCTGAGTTATGACATATTAACAGAAATCAAGTAATGATGCCCCATAACTTGATCAAAATGTGCAGTTTATGTGTTACCTCAGTCAGGTGAGGGTTGGGGTTGAATCCACATTGGTTGCAGACCTTGTTGTGACACTGTGTACAGGTGTTGAAGTTTGGCTGGTTGGGAGAGGAGGTGAGTTCTGTTGTCTTGCATATAGGACAGAGTGTGCTGCTAGGAAGGGGTGCAATTTGTGGGACAGAATAAGGTGAGGTAGGGGTGCTGCCTCGATCCGGTGACACAGACGGTGAACGCCCTGTCCTCTGGCTCCTGCTGTCCACTTGGAGTGTCCTCCTTGGCCCATCAGCCTGTTGGGGGGTCTGCCCATGGCTCCTCATCTCTCTTGTGCTTTCGCTGGTCTGAGCAGCCGGTTTTGGGGATGGGGAAGCTGCTCTCTGTCCAAAGGAGGGGTCCGATTGATCTGGTCTTCTTGGTGTGCTGAAACACATTAAATGCAGATGTCAACCAGGTTGCAGAGAATCGAGGTAAAATAATAGGCAAAACTGCCTTGACGATTTCCTCAGGATATACTTTGAAATGCATTTGAGAATCTCCGAGATTCAAAGTTAAAGGCAAGAAAATAAGTGTAAATAGATGTTTAGAGAAAATGATTGCCATCTTTACCTCCACCAATTTCTTAAAACCACAAGACATGGATATTTCTTCAAGATGCAATCTAACAAGTTGTAAATACAAGATTCAATTGTATTTAAAGTCAAAACAGCTAAAAACGTGTCCTTTCTTTTCCCCAAAGGCTATAATCTGAAAGGGGTGGGGCTATATGTCAAGTGAGCATTGCGTATAGACTTGGAGGGTGAGGCATACATTTTTATACAAATAAAAATAAACAAAAATTAGAACCAACAGAAATTAGGCATACTCAGTTCCAACTGGATATATTCCCACTACTGGAGAAGGCTGTGTGGTCATTTGCAATACCACTCTCAAGTCTTCATGCAAGCAAAGGAACTCATAGCCAGCTAGAAGAAACAAATCCCATCCACTTATGCTGTTTCTATGATAGAGGATAGGTAGATAATTCAACTGCTACATGGCATTATAAAAAGCAGTTTTTCTATTTTGCCAAAAATGGAAAGGTGTTTAAAATAGACTTCAAGAGCTGCTGCTTTTTCTCTATTCTAACTTAAAAATAGGTCAGCCGACTGCAAGAACATCTCTTCTTTAGCACACAAGCATGTATATATATATATTGTCATTCATTCCGGCTTCCCTTATTAAGGAATATTCCAAACCAAAATATCTAAATTCACCCATCCTCTTCCCAGTTTCTAGGGCAGGATCAAACATAGTCCTGGTCTTTTGGGAATTTAACCTTCTGAGGTTCACCAGGATATTATATTGCAATTTCATATTCTCTCATGTCTGAGTAATATTTATAAACTCCCTATCATACACTGACAGAAAACTCTGCACTATTCATCCAGTGCTCAGTCCTGTAGATCAAATGTGTTGGCTTTGTCCCAAATACTTTTTTGAATTCCTGTGTAACCAGAACTACATCAAAAACAGAAATAAATAATGCAGTAATATGTGTGTGCCAAACAATATTTTGTTGCGACTGGTTTTGAACATACTTTCCATAATCCCATCATAAGAGTGTGATGGCCACAAGGGAAGGTGACTCTCTTAGCTGAAACACATTTACCCATCCTCAGGCTCAATCATTCTTTCATTTAAATATACTTTGAATTTTGATACAGCTCAAGTTGCATCTGAGTCATCTGCCGTTTCCCTCTAGTCAGCTCCGCATTGCACTGGTAGCATCTGAGTATGGTTTGACAAGATAATGTGGGTGTTCCCCATGTAAGCATTAGTGGATTTGATCAAGAGGAAGCAGGATAGGAGCGATGTGTTATCTGGACAACTCATATGCTGCCCAAATGATACGTGAACCAACTACAGGAACATCAGCCACCATTGCAACTATAATGTTTGAACCAAGCTTGATCTTCTCTGAGTCAAGTAAATATCAAGCCAATCCCAAATGTGATGTAGCTAATGACTTATTCCTGGGTGCTCTCTCTTATCCATGGCTAGAGGACAAGGAAGGAAAGGAGCAAAACCACATGGCTACTCAGCATATTTGAAGATACCTACAGAGAAATCAAAATAAAACTTTGCAAAAATACCACAATGACACATACACATACACATACACACACACCACCTTTGTCCACCATTTGTACAGGAAGTTGCCACTGCCTATGGATTCCTGCCAGGCATACTTACGGTAAAACAAGCTACTGTCTATGTTGCATGTTCCTGCAGTATAACTTGTTTTTCTGTAGGGAAGCTATTATCAGCGTAGGAATATCAACTTATCCAACCCACAGATATGCAGTGGTTTGTGTCCAAAGGCACAAATATATTATTTGCTCCTAGCATAGATTTGGCATTGACAAGGCCAAAGTCTTCATGAATGTTTAATAAGCACTATAAATCTTTAGAATACATCAATGACACTGTTTCATACTGTTCAAGTAGATTGCTTTAATGCATGCATGCTGTTCCGACCATACAATTCCTTGTGACTCTCACAGCAGAACTACACATTGTAAGAAACATAAGAAAAGGCAGCCCCATGTCTTCCCCGATAATCTGAAGGATTGTTCACAAAGTCTTCTGAGTGATAGTGGCTGGCAGGGAGGCAGAGCAGCAGCACACTGCCATCCTCACAGCAGCAGTGTCACCGCCACTTACCAGAAAGGCTCAGTGGTGGGGTAGAGGCAGAGGGCCTTTTGGGCAGTGGCACCTGCCTTATGGAACTTCCTCCCAGCAGATGTCAAACATATAGCTATGTGATTTTTAAAAGACATCTGAAGGCAGCCCTATTCAGGGAAGTTTTTAGTGTGTGATGCTGTGTTGTGTTTTTACTACTTTTTGTTGGACACAGCCCAAAGTGGCTGGGGCAACCCAGGAAGATATATAAATAAACTAATACTAATAATAATTAG